CAGCATCTCTCATGAATTTGCCCATTCTGCCCAGTATGCAGGCTTCTAAAAGCCTAGGGACACACTGGGAACTCTTGAGACAGCACAGGGCTACGTAAGGGTATAGCAGCACTGAAATGTTTGATGGGAGAAAGAAGGGCAAGGATAGTAACATTTGTGCTTCTAGCAGTGTTTCCTGAAGTGTTATTCCTTACAGTTGTTTTTCTAGGAAGTAGGGGTCCCTGAAAATATGATAGTAATGCTGAAGATAACGTTGTGAAGTCCCCTCGGATGACGTGGACTTGAATCCTGGCTATGCAACTTACTCAGTAGGTAACTCTGGGGAAATAGTTTAACTTGTCTCAGTTCTCTCACCTGCAAATTGGGTGTAATAGACAATATCCACTCTGCACGTAAAGTTATCATGAGTTTTAATAAGACCGTGGTTCTTTCATTATTTGTATAATCTTGGGCAAGTCAATTAAATTTTCTGAGTCCCGTTTTCTTCATGTCATCTCTATATTGGAGGCTTAGTTCCAATAATCACCATGATCCTTCCAGCTCTGATATTTGAGATCTATGCAAATGGAAGTGTTCATTGGGAAATGTCAGAGAAATGTAAATCTGATTATCCTTATAGTTTATAATATTTGTATTAATATTACTATTTTGAATGCAGCAGTCCTTAGGAACCAACTTCCTCTAAGGAAAGAAAAAGTATGATCTTTGATATTCTCCACCTGGGACTGTTGTCTATGGCAGGGATGTGTCTCTGTAAAGCCCATTGCTAAGAAGCATGGAGCCCCTTTGCTCCTCCTGCTTGAAATTGATGCCCTTTCCTGCTCTAACCACCAGAGGGGAGACATCATCTGTTTCATGTTCTGATTTACACACAGGCGCTACCAAAGACAGGTTTGAAATTAATGAATCAACGCCCTCAGAAGTCAGAAGCAGCAGAATCATCTATTTCTCATTGATTTCTAGGCAAGAAGGGGAATGAAGACTCTGCCCTCTCACCTTCTCTCCTCTGCTCTCCTTGGAGGATAAATGGGGTACTGCAAAGGAAACCTGGTTTCCAAAGGGTCATAAAAGTGCTCCTGAAAGTCACCATGTTTTCATTCCTTTACAATGATGGTAAACTACTTATTAAGCCTTGACTGAGGAGTTGGCACTGAGCTCTGTTCTTCGCTAGTATTTTCTTGTTTAATTCTCACAACAACTCCATGAGGTAAATATTCATCTTATGCCCAGGACATGAGAGCATATAAAAGGTAAATAACTGAGAAATCAGTAAAATGGGGATTTCAATCTATGTTTGACCCGGAAGTATGAATTCTAAGCCAGCAGTTCTCAACTCTTTTGGTTGCAGGACTGCTTTACCTTATCAAAAATGACTAAGGGTCCCCGAAAGTTTTTGTTTGTGTGTGTTACATCTATGAATATTTATTGTATTAGAAATTCAAGCTGTGAACAATGTAAAGCACAAGAATATACAAGCAAACATTCCACTAGTCATTGGGTGATACCATCACATGTTATTTAGCCTCTGGAAAACTCCACTGTACATTCAAGAAAGAATGAGAGTAAAAGAGGCAAATGACATCTCAGTATAATTATGAAAATACTTTTGACTTTGTGGACCCCTTAAAAGAGTTTTGGAGACCAACACAGGTTCCTAAGCCATACTCAGTAAACCACTGCTATAAACTTCTGCATTTTGCTGTATCCTACTGCACACTATGCTAATATGCTTTGCATGTCTAATGTAATGTTCAAGTTGACATAAGTATCTTCCACAAATCAGACAGTATCTATAATTCTCAAATGTGTTCTCTATAGTAAAGAATGCCCCCTCTCTCTATTTTGTATTTATTTATGTATTTATATTTTATATTTTTATTTTTTGAAACAGGGTCTTGCTCTGTAACCTGGTCTGGAGTGCAGTGGTGCAGTCATGGCCCACTGAGGCCCCCATCTCCTGGGCTCAAGTGATCCTCCTACCTCAGTCTCCCAAGTAGCTGGAACAACACGAACCCATCACCACACCTGGCTAATTTTTTATTTTTTGTAGAGTCAGGATCTCACCATGTTGCCCAGGCTGGTCTCCGACTCCTGGCCTCAAGCAATTTTTCCACCTCAGCCACCCAAATCACCATGAGCCACCATGACTGGCCCTCTCTGTCTCTTTTAAATGTAAGATCTAAAGTCTTTATATTTTTCTCTTCAAACAATAATTATGAAAAACCTATACAAATGAAAGGTGGTATTACTATTATTGCCAACTCTTCATAATCCTTCCTCTTTACTTATAGAGTTCTGAAAATCTAAATGTTACCAGATAATTTTGCATCATTGCATTCTGTACAAAAAGATACTATTGGAAGTAGTTCATTTTTGTCTTCAGGAAGTATTTATCCAGTGCCTCTCATGTGCTCATCACTGAGGTAGACCCCAGGTTTACAATGATGAATGTAATGCAGTCTCTGTGTTCAAGAAGCTCAAAGTCTGGAGTGAAGGATAAACAAATCAAATGTAATGTATAAAAACAATGTGACAAGATAGGGATATAGGAGCACATCGGAAGGATACCTAATTAAGCTTTCAGTGATTCAAGAAGATTAAAAGATATACTAGTAATTTCACTGCTGTATTTCAAAGTTTCCATTTTTAATTTTCATTCCATTATCTAACTTGATGTTACTTTAAACATTGACTTCCAGTTTCTCCCTGCTATTTAAATGTTGAAGATTTCCTTTTTTACACTCTGACATATCACTTTGCATTTTCAAAGTCAAGTCTCATTGTTATTCCTTCTCTAGGTCCTTTTGTATCATTTCTCTGATATCCCTGGTATTCATAATATCTCCCAAATGAGTACCATCTGTGAATTTCATCAGTGCGCTGTCTGTTCCCTATTCTGGCTTATGAATGAAGATGTTAAATCAGAACAGACATTGTAGGGCAGCTGCTTTCTGCCGCACCCCACCAGGAATCGTCTTAACGTTTATGACACCTCTTCGCTTGCATTCATTACCTTTTGTTTATAGTCCTTCAGGTAGCTTTGAATCCCAAGTGATAAGGATGATGTTCAAGTGAATTTAAAGTTTTGTGATTAAAATTTGAATTGAGACATGGCTTGCTTTCTATTCAGTTCTGAGTTCTGAAAAGCAGTTATCTAACTTCCTCCCCTCTCTGCCTCTATCCCAAAATGACTCTAGTATTTGCTAATAAACTTAAAATCTGCATGTGGGGGCTACTTTATCTCAGCGTACAGGATGATAAAATGGAAATTGGTGTCACATTCTGATGTGAGATGAGAAACCATGATGTGGAATTTGAAAGGAATGTTATTTTTAAAATCTGTTAAAAGATTCTTAGCATGTGCAAGAGGTGAGACCCTATTTCTACACACACACACACACACACACACACAAATAGTCAGGCATGCTGGTGCCTACTTGTGGTCCTAACTACTCAAGAGACTGAGGCAGGAGAATCACTTGAAATCCAGGTGTTCAAGGTTGCAATTAGCTAAGATCTCATCACCACAGTCCAGCATGGGTGACAGAGTGAGACCTTGTCTCTTAAAAAAAAAGATTCTTAGCCCAGCACCCCAAGGAGGGTAGCAGTAGTTGGATTATTGGAGATTGCAGAGGAGTTTTGGAGGCAGCTGCTGTGTCGTGAGTCTCACTCATTTACTAAAGTGTAGGAGGGGTACTTCCACCTCCACCTCAAGCCAATAGAGAGGGAATTTAGGATGATTCAGAGAACTTGATAACTATCCTCTAAGTTTGTGGGATACTATATTGGGATCTTTCACCCACAACAACATCTGAAGAGAAGAAGGGGTGACTGTGCTAGGCAGCTTGCTCCTCCAGAATTAATCTGAGCTAAAAATGTGAGGTCATGTGTAGGACATACCCAAGGGAAAGCCGCTTGGGCTCATTGTTGGGTTGTCCAAAGGACTCCTTTCTGCTGAAAGGAGTTCAGCAGAAAGAAGCCAACAGCTCCACTCAATTTCTACTAATGAAGAATGAGAGGTAAGCATTCAGCCAGAATAGAAATACATTCCTTAAGTTCAAGGAAACTGCAGGTGCAGATGGGGTGGGAATTGTGCAATTCTGAAGAGCCCATCTGTATTAGTAAACTTTTGCTGCGTAAAAACACACTTCAAGACTTAGCGGCTTAAAACTCACAATTATTTAGGTCACCAAGTTAGGTGGAGCTCAGCTGGGCAGCCCTTACAGTCTTGGCTGGCTCACACATGTGTTGTGGTGAGATGTGGGTCAGGTGAGGGGTCACCAGTCTAATGTAGCCTCATCTGGAATAGTCAGTCTCTGCCTCACATGGTTTCTCATCCTCTAGCAGGCTGTTTTGGTGGCACCAAAGCAGATTTTAAAAGTCTTCCTGTGGCTGGAATATCTTTGATTCCTTCACATTCTGTTGGTCATGGCATGTCACAAGGCCAAACCAGACTCAATGGGTAAGGAAACCGATTCCACTACTTTGTGAGAGGATTGTAGTCTTTTTCTGCATCATTCTGCATGTAACATGAACATGAGCCTGGAGGTACAGCATCCATTTTGTGACCATGAGATTATACACATGCTGAAGAAGGACTCGTGCAGAGGGGGAAATACTCTTGGGGAAACAGATGGAGTTTTAATCACATCTTGAGCCACTACTAACCTGCCCTTACTACCTACCCCCATGCTTTTATTGCATGAGACAAGCAAATCCCTTTCCCGTTTAAGAAATTATGTGTTAGGGTTTTCTGTTACTTGCAGTCAAATATATTCTTGACTGATGCAATACATTTTTATAGACGATGAGCTAAACTGAGTTTTACAACTAAAGAGGGATCAAATTAAAAGAAGAATCATAAAAGATGAATTAAGAATTACGTGACAAAACATCAAAGCAAATAGAATTTTTCTGGTCAGAAAAGAAAATGCAGAACTTGGAGAGAGAGTTTAGCAAAATTGTGTGAATAGTTAGGTGCAAAAACTTATGAACAGGTTGATCTTTATTTTTTTTATAGAAAGAACAAAACAAGAACGAAGATTACTCTGTAAGATGGTTAGATGAATGAATTTATCTTTGATGAGAACAATGTAAGTATTGAAATTCTGTCTTAGCATGGTTCTGAATCTCCTTTTCTAGAGATATTGAAGAATGGAAAAATGTCTTTTCTACCTAGGATTAGACCTATTTTTATCTTTGTTTTTTTGCACATTAGTAATGAGGCAGATTTTTGTTTAAAGGCTGGCTATTAGAATACTGTTGCCTGAATAGCTATGGTAGATCTAGAATGTAGCGATATTTGAAGTTTACATACATAAGCAAAGAAGCGGAAGCCCAGCTCACAAAGGGATATTTGATCCTCCGTCAAGAGAAAAGCTAAAATCACATGCTCAGTTGGGTTTATTTGGACCATACTCTCACTCTCTGACAAACAGAAAAAGATCTGGATAGGAAATTGTCTTTGCACACACAAAATTCTGGCTTAATTCTCCTTCCTATACAACTGTACCTCAGTTAAAACAACAACAACAATCTGTCTTGAAAAACTCAAGAACCTGGACTACTAAAAATAAAAAGGAAATTTTAACATAGTAAACAAATTTAGTGAGCACCACGTGTATTCTGTTATTAATGAAGACATGATACATTTTTAAAGTATGTATTTTTTAGAAACAAAAAAAAACAAAAACAAAACAAATCTAGAAGGAGTCTTGACTAGAAAAAATTGAGCCCAACTTTTATCCCTCTCAATCAGAAGTGGGTTTTAGCACCAATCAGCAACCCCTCCTCCAGCACACAAAGGCACTGCCATTTGCCTTGTGAGCAGAACATAACACATACACCTTAGCTATTGAATTTGAACATTAAGCAGAATCACTGCAGAGCACATTTTGATGGGTTACTTCAATACCCACCTGGTCTAGTTCACAATATCTGTCTGTACATCCAGTTTATACATATTCTGCAGGTATATTGAACAATATACCATCTATTGTCCCATTATTTATTTTCACATGGCAGTTCTTGTAGCTCAAGCAAATGTTAAGATCATAAAGAGCTCTCTTGAAGGAAAATCTCAGGTGAAGGTACGTTAATGAGAAACCTTAAAAGTTAAACAAATCTGGTTCTTTTTTACTAAACTGGTGGGATAAAAGCAGAATGGGTATTATGAAGAGCAGTTTTATTTGTTTCCTCATGGGAAAAGACCAAACTTTTCTGGACTGCTTTAATTTAAAAACAAAGTCAATTAAAAAAATAAAATATATACCTTGGGATATTACAACACTTGAAATAATGGCAGGTATTATGGAATGGGAAGCAGAGTTTTTTTTTTTTCATTTTGTTTTTTGTTTTTTTCCAAAAAAGGAAACTATAACAGATTTTAAGGGGAAAACAAACAAAACATACCAGAACTCTGAATACGGGCAGCACTACGCAGACTCTACAGTGCAGAACACCACAAAAGAATCAGTTCTACATTGGTAATAGCATAAGAGTGACGTGGGGGCTAATATTTCAGAGAAGAGGAAAGACTGCAGGCATAGGTTTATTATAGACATGATATTTAGCCACATAAAAATGATACCTTCCAGCTGGGCGCAGTGGCTCACGCCTGTAATCCCAGTACTTTGGGAGGCTGAGCGGGTGGATCACCTGAGGTCAGGAGTTTGAGACCAGCCTGACTAACATAGTGAAACCCCGTCTCTACTAAAAACACAAAAAAATTAGTCAGGTGTGGTGGTGGGTGCCTGTAATCCTAGCTATTCCGGAGGCTGAGGCAGGAGAATCGCCTCAACCAAGGAGGCAGAGGTTGCAGTGAGCTGAGATCATGCTGTTGCACTCCAGCCTGGGTGACAGAATGAGACTCCGTCTAAACAAAAAACAAACAAACAGAAACAAAAAACCTTCCAAAGGATTCCCCGCATGGGGCAAAATTTGTTTTTCACTGCTAAGCATAGGAAGGATTAAGAAAGTGGAACAAATTCCCTTGTAACTATAGTATCTCTCATATTTGAATAGCAAGCATGTTCAATCTGTTGCTACATGTTAAGAAAATATTGAGGATACATATGAATAAAGCAAAATAAGAAAAAAGGCTAAATTATGATCTTTAAAAATGAGAATAAAAATCTGTTTTTAAGCCAAGTAGGTGTGATTCTGATAATTATTATATATGATATAACCCACAGAAAGCGAGGCCAAGAAATAAATCTTCATACTGTTCAGTACTTGGACTTGATATTGTCCTAGAAAAAACAGTGATAAGTCAACAAATGCATCACACATACAACTAAAAAGTCTCCTTCTGGTTTCATATAAATTTAAACAACAATCTTCCTAGGCTAATTTTTTTTCCTAGGCTAAACCTTCTACATGTAGGACCAGTGTAAATCCCTCTACCCTTTCAAACACTAGATGCAAACATCCAGGAACATTCTGCAATGCAAAGTGCCTTGAGAAAAAGATGAATTCTGTAGTACCAATGACGTAACTGATCAAGGAAGCTGGGAAGAGATTAACACTGATGGGAGCCAGTCAGGCAATGGTGGTTTGTTTCTCCTTGGGTGTTTCCTCCATCTGCTGCACGAACAGTTCATAGAGGGCTCTGCAGAGCTTTGCATAGCCCTCTCCTGTAAGATGCAGAAAATCAAATATCTCATGGCAGGAGACGGCAGTGTCAGGGTGCATGAAGCCCCTATCTGTATGCAGGACCTACACATGGGCAAGCTTCAGCAAGGAAACCTTGAGAAGCTAGTTCACCTTTTGCCTCAAAGGGTTGGGCTTCTTACCTCAAGGTAACACTTCCAATACAAGAATTTTGCCTTGTGGTTGCCTTATATTGATAAATTGATAGAGTGAATGATGGCCTTGATCCCACCTTCTAACTCTACTGCTGTATTTTCATGGTTGGTTGTTCCTACCCAGGCAACAATAACCTTAGGTTTAATATTCTCCAGTTCTCTACTCTTTCGTTTCTATAAAACATGTCTTGTATCTTCCTCAGTTCCAAAATTCAGTGCGTGAAATGGGGAAAAAAGCTCTCGCCATATCTCATGTTGCTGCGTTAACTGCATCATGGGGTCTCCAACAAACAGAACATTAGGCTTTTTGTCTTTACCATCCAGGACAAATCTGTTGTGCTGAGATATCCATCTGTCGTCTGCTTGAATATCTTCCACTGCATGTGGAATAGCTGCTGTGTTTGAGTCTGCTTGGCTCATTCTACACTCACGTAGAGGGTCCATGGAGGCCCTACAAGGTTGCAGCATTGATGGGTGGTGCGTCTGTCACTCGCTCAATTCCTGTGGCCCTCCTCCGACGTGGACCCCTCGGGCCCCAGCACCAGCAGCAGCCTAGAGATATTTTTATCCCAAAGAAAAAGAATTTAGGTAACTTCTTTATGGGATTTGTCAGCCCTAGATTTCTTTAACAAATTCTTAATTATGCACATAAGAAATAGATACGTATATAAAGCAAACATGATTCCTTCAATAACTCGAGGTAAGCATTCGAGAAGCAAGAGCATATCCTCTGGAATGCTGTGGTAGTATCTTATGCTTCTATTTCTTTACACTCAGAGTCAGGATCTTGACTTCATGACTCCCCATACGTCTCACACTTAGCTTTATTCAATAAAGGAATCTCTTTTTCTTACAGTGATTTGGTGTTTTTGTGTATCTCCTTCATAATAGAAAAGTAATTCATTTCACTATCAACCATCATAGATTTTATAATTAACATTTTAAATCTTGTTTAAATTTTGTCATAGAGCATATTCATCAGTTTTTGGGATCTATTGTCATCATTTCCTTCATTTGCTCTAGTTTCTATGTACCACCTGAAGAGCCCACTATACTTTTAAGCTTTCAGTTCAGAATGTCTAGTTTTAGTTATTGCAAATAGTGTACTCACAATACAGGTGATTCTTTCAGTCTTTGAAATATGTTATCTTTCTGTAACTTGCAGCATACCCAGCAAATAAGTCTTATTAAGACAGAATACTATATAGAGGCTATTTACCCTCATTTAGCCCAACTTGAACATTAAAATCAGGACTAAAGACTATACTAGTGATGTAGTGTCCATAAAGCTCAGTCACTTGCCCAGAGGATTTACAGACAACAGCAGAATTTGAGAATGACTGAAATCTATACTAAAGGATAAAAACTATAAATGTTTTAAAGTATATTCTTTTTTCCCTTCTTCTTTTCTTTTCTTTTTCTTTTTTTTTCAAGAGACAGGGTATTTCACTTTGTCGTCCAGTTTGAACTGTAGTGGTATGATCATAGCTTACTGCAGCCTCAAACTCTTGGGCTCAAATGATCCTCCTGCCTCAGTTCACCGAGTAGTTGGGACTATAGGAGCATGCCACCATCCCTGGTTAATTTTTGTGTTTTTTTGTAGGAATGGGGTTTTGCTATGTTGCCCAAGCTGATCTCAAACTCCTGGGCTCAGCAATCCTCCTGCCTCAACCTCCCAAAGGGCTGGGATTACAGACATGAACCACCATGCCTGTTTGGCAAGTTCTTATATTTAAAAGAAAACTATTTCTCTGCTCACAACACTTTTGATACCAAAGGCATGGGAATTTTTCTTCTTGTACCAACCAGTTCTCCAACTTTCCAGACACAAACTGAGTGTCCTGTAGCTTAATTCAATTCTGACACTGACTACACATAGTTAAGACAGACCTCATAGGTTAAGGGTTCAGTCCCAGAAGACTGCCCTACTGCCAATCACAAGTACTGGTTGTCCAGGGTATCCACACTTCTGTCCAACTTAGCTACAAATCAGGGGTTCCCATAATCCTCCCCTCAGGTTCAATAATTTGTTATAACAGCTCACAGAACTCAGGGAAACACTTTTATTACAAAGTATTTTATAAAGGCTACAAATCAACAGCCAGATGAAGAGGTATATGGCGTCATGTCCAGAAGGGTCCTGAACAGAAACTTCTGTTCCCATGGATTGGGGTATGCTACCCGTCTGACACATGGGTGCATTCGCCAACCTAGAAGCTCTCCAAATTCCAGCGTTTAGGGATTTTTCTGGAGGCTTTATCATATCGGTATGATTGACTATTAACTCAATCTTCAGTTCCTCTTTCCTCCTCCTATGATAGGGAATGGGGCTGACAGTTTCAAATTTCTAATAATGGTTTGGTCTTTCTGATGACCAGCTCTTCTCTTGAAGCTATTTATGAGCACACTAAGAGTCATCTCATTAGAACAAGAGATTCTAATGTCACCCAAAAATTTCCAAAGGATTTAGGAGCTCTGTGTGAGACATTTTTGTCAACCCCATCACTCAAGAAATTGCAAAGGTTTTAGAAGCTTTGTGTCAGAACAAGAGACAGAGACCAAATATATATTTCTTATTGTGTCATAATATTCAATGAATTATAAATAAGACACTTTGTGTCTGACAGTAAAATACTGTTTCTCCCCAATAAGAAATTAGATCTGTGGGAATACTAACATACCCATTTGGATTTTTCTTGTAGTGTGTTCTATGACATTCCCATCAGTTGACATGAGAAATGTCTGTATGGTACCTTGCTTTGGGACCCTAATTACTAAGTATGATTTATCTCTAGTCTTTGATAATGCTTTTTCTCAAAGAACAGTCTCTAAATGCTAAGTCATCATCAATAGCATTTTATGGGGGAGCTTAGCTTCCCATCTTTCCTAAGCACTCAGGAAGATGCCGGCTCGAAGAGAGTTGGATTTACCATGAAGCTAAGAAACTGAAACTTTGGAAATCTTCAATTGCACTACCCCTTTTCCAAGATTCTGTAAATGTGTAAAATTTGCAAAAGTGAAATAACTACCACAATTACTGAAGGCCATGGTTTCTTTCCACTCCACTCTCTGCTGTGTCATACTTTCCTTCAAGTCAGATATTGTTGATGTAGCGGCAGGTAATTTGGGAATCTGACTAAGGGAAAATGGGATTAATCATACATTAATTTGTGTTTAGTGGATGTATTTGTGTAGCTCAGTTCCCTCTGTGTGAAATCAAGTTATTGCTCGTCTTTCTGTTGATGAAATGGCTTCCAGGCACACTTCTACCATTCATTGCACTAACTCATTTAGCTTCATGACATCAAGGTGCAGGGCCAAGGGCCATATCACCATGATATGAGCATGTCCAGTGGCACAGGAAGAATGTGGGATCCTGGAGGGGAAACAGGTTGCAACTGTGTGGAACCAGGAGCTAGTCTGTGGAAAATTTATTAGCAGACATGTAAAATTGAAAAGGGGGCAATTACTTCTCATTAATGTCTATCAGAACAGAATTTCTCTCCCGTCAGAAACATATTCATTATAATATGGTATTTGCAATCACAAACGTTACAAAGATTTTTTTTTGATGGTGACAGTAAAAAAGAGAATTTATCACATACCAGTATTATAAATAGTGGGTACATCTGTAATAGCTCATATATAACACAACATGATAATAATTTTCTTAAATTTGTGAGATAGTGCCAGTAATTAGTGTTAAAATTTCTAAATTATTAACAATAAAAACAGATATTAATCAATATTGCTGAAATGATGATTGTTTTTTATTTTCCCTAGAAATAACTACATTTCAAAACTATAGTCATTTGAAGAAACAATTAGAGAATATGCAGCTAAAAATATTATAGAGCTGTGTCAGGCAGTTGAGTAATATAAACATTGTTATTTTTCGTGATGTTTGTGGTATTTGTCAGCTTTTAAAAATCTATTGTTTGTTGGATTTCTATTCTAATTCTAAATAGTGATTCTGATTATTAAGTTATTATTTATAACTTTAGGTGCTTTTTAAAAAAAAAAAAAAAAAAAGCCTCCCTAACTTGTAAAAGTTTCAGGATGACAGAAATTTAAATCCATTCTAACAGGAGTTTTTTTTCTCTCTTTCTTTTTCTGCTATTTGCTCTGTGCCACCCTCTTGTTCCCAAGAAGAACAACCCTACCTGGAATGCAGGTTGACCTCTTGGGTCTGAAAGCACTCCTTCTGATGCATTCATTTTCCTTATCTCTTTCTCTTTGGTAAAATGAAAATTAAATGTATAAGTTACATTTTTACATTGGCAAGTTCTTATATTTAAAAGAAAACTATTTCTCTGCTCACAACACTTTTGATACCAAAGGCATGGGAATTTTTCTTCTTGTGCCAACCAGTTCTCTAACTTTCCGGACACAAACTGAGTGTCCTATAGCTTAATTCAATTCTGACACTGACTACACATAGTTAAGACAGATCTCATAGGTTAAGGGTTCAGTCCCAAAAGACTGCCCTACTGCCAGTCAGAAGTACCAGTTGTCCAGGGTATCCACACTTCTGTCCAACTTAGCTACAAATCAGGGGTTCCCATAATCCTCCCCTCAGGTTCAATAATTTGTTATAACAGCTCACAGAACTGTTGGAACATCTTTCTCTCTCTCACACACACACACATGCACACACACACATAGTTTAGTGCACTTGACCTCTGTGCTCTTTGCAATATGTACAATGTATATATTGCAGGGATGTCAAATATATATATATATATATAAAATATATGCTGCAAAGGACTATAGATAGATTAAGAGATCTCTATATGATATACCTATATGATACAGATATGTGGATGCAGATAGATATAGTTAGATACAGATATACACATAGAAGCACTGTGTGTGTGTGTGTGTGTGTGTGTGTGTGTGTGTGTGTGTGTGTAGAGAGAGAGAGAGAGTCAAATCTGGCTTCTTGATATTTTAGTTTAGAAAGGGACATTTTAAAACTCTGATGTAATAGTCACTTATTGGGGGAAGAGGAAGTGGTGTCTGAGAGTTGATAAGAGAAAAATGGACTCTTCCATCAGCTTCCATTTTAGCAAGAGGTGTTAACCATTTCACATGAATTATGAATTATTATGTTAGTGACATTGAAAGCAATCTCCTCCTGTATGATTTTTTCTTCTTCCTCCTCCTCGCCTATCACTGCCACCACCTTTAATAAATCTTGTACATTTAATTTTCATTTTACCAAAGAGAAAGAGATCAGGAAAATGAATGCATCAGAAGGAGTGCTTTCAGACACAAGAGGTCAACCTGCATTCCAGGGAGGGTTGTTCTTCCTGTGAACAAGAGGGTGGCACAGAGCAAATAGCAGATGTAGAACCCACGATTCAGATTAGAAGAATGTTGATGTCAAATGGCAGGTGGTTGGTTAGGGGTTGGAGGAAGTTCTTTTACCAGGGAAGAATATAGACAGACATAAAGTTTTGATAGGCCTAAGGACAGAGCCAGGGTACTTGAGACACAACTAGAGTCTAAATTAGAGACTGCCGAAGGGATGCGGGATGAGCCCATTGCAAACACTCAGAGACATGGGTTCAGGGAGTCTTACATTCAAACCAGAAATTGATGCAGGATCATGGATGTAAAGCCAATGTCAAGCATTTCTAGGGCATGAATGGCTTTCATAGCAAGGTTACCAGTCAGTGCCCTGGAAATGGTGGAGCAACTCCTCCAAACTCAATGTTCCCTATTTTGAAGGATTGGATTTTGCTGTTGACTGGCCATAACAGCATGAACTCTAGGGAATCAGGTTCTTAATGGTTCCAGGATTAGATACAGATGACATCTTCATCACGGAAAAATTCCAATTTCACATAGGTATCACTACAACTTTCTTCTCAAACTTTAAGGAGGCAGGTGGCACATTTGGAAGGATATGAAAGATTTGAGGCTTCAGGTTGCAATCTTCTTTCCCAGGATGAAGTCCTTCAACCCCATGCCTCTCTCTACTAACTGATAGCAGCAACTTTTCATTATCCTGCAAGTAGTTGCTAAAATCATTCATTGATATTAGTGAGGTGAATTTTAAAAAATTATTCATTATATTAATAGTATTGGCCTGCTTCAGAGGTTTTTTCATTTTTCTTCTTCATTAAAGAAACAAGGCATGTATCCTAGATATTAGAGTTGCTATTATTGGAAGGAATAGTAGCACCATCACTTAATTCTACTTACACATTTTATTATGTTTGTCCAACTGAGTATTATTATGTCCCAGAATAATGGAAGATATTCATAACCTTCAATCTAAAAATAAACCAAAGACTTACAGTTTTCCCCAGATACCTCTAGTCTTGAATTCAAGTATTATTCCTTCTTGCACATTCTTCCATTTTGTTCTATGAGAATTTTAAATATTGCTTCAAACCCCTGAAGGTTTCATGAACTTAATCACAGGCTATATTTGA